ATCCAGCGGCACAAACGCCCACTCATTGTACCCGCGTAGGAGGGCAATTAACAACATTATTGACTCTGTTCGGTGGCCACCCCACACACCCAGACACACACTTACACCCAATGTGAATTCCAGGAGCAGTACAGTACGCGGCGCGGCACTTTGAAATGCTAATGAAATTGCCTTTTAAAGTACGTTAAAAATAAAGCACAGAGCAATGCAGAAACAATCAGGAATGTCCTGTCTGTCCACTATCCAGCTCGGATGCACGTTCCTTCTGAAAGTTCTCTCTCTGCTTCTGCTTTTTGCTTAATTGATAAATTGATTAAATTGCAAAAAGAGCCTTAATTGCACTGCCCAGCAAGAGGCAAGAGTGGCAGAGTTGCCCCGCCACACAATGTGGCATATACCGCACGAACACACACAAACAGAGAATCTCTTGAAATTTAACATTTCATTCGCTCCCTCGTTCGCTCTGCTTGTAAGCGATGTGGCAGTCCCGGGGCGGGGGCTGTCCACTTGGCAAATTGCATTTAGCATTGTTCCCAAAGACTCGAAGGCCCGGATTTCGAGGGTTCGTTAATGCGATGTATTTTGTCAGCATTTGAAGTGTCGCATCAGCTTTGCTTTCAATTGGATTTTCGGCTTTTGTCTGGAGTTCTAGTCCTAGTCCATGTCCTGCTGCTGCTGCTGCTGCTGCTGCATCCCAAGCCCAGGCGGTGACCAATTTCAAGGATAAACTACTGATTTCGTCTATTGTCTGGCTGCTGGTTCCTGCTGCTCTTTCGTTTAGTTACATTTTGCGCAGGTCAATGAGAAGGTTCGAGCGCTCTCCTTGATGTATGGCTGCCACAATCCATCTCTAAACGGGAAAACTTAGAGGGAAGAGTTTTCACGACGCATCATAATCATTGAAGAGTAGAGCTTCCTTTTACGATGCAAAATAAATCCTGAGCCAGCTCAACACTTTCTTGATTTGGCCAGGTTTTAGGAGCCATTAAGTCCCGAAGGATAACCCAGGGCCACCCTCTCATATTATGTACCCAAAGCTATAAATGGGATTTACAGCCTCCTTTTTTCTGTCTTTCTTTCGTTCGTTCTCTCTCTCTCTCTGGTGCTAAGTCGCATTAAACGTTTAACCAAAAGATATCCCCAAGATAGCTCTCAGTTTGCTCCAACTGTTGGTTCCTTTTCTGTCACTTGGTTTCAGCTCTCTTTCTCTGCCTTTCTGTCTTATATTACCCTCTCATATTTCCCACTCTGCTTCTTATTCCCTTTCTCGATTTTCCCTCTTTTTTTTTTGCAAATTTATTGCATTTATTCGATGAAGTTTTTCCTCCCTTTTTTTCTTATATTTTCTTGTGGTTTTGCTTTGATTTAATTTAGCCTCTCCGTCTCCATTGTATCCTCGCTCCCTAACCCCTTCTGCCCACACTTTCTGCTCCTGCAATTTGCGGGCTTTGTTCAATTGGCTTTTCTCTTGTCCCGTGTCCTGTCCGACTGGTGTTCTCGCCTTGTCCTGTCCTGTCCTGTCCTGTCACTCATGCGTCAGCAGTACTCGCATTTCTGGTTTGCTGGTTTTCTGTTTGTGTGGCGCTTTCTTTCGAATAAATCACCCGGAGAAATAAAACCTATTTTAAAGTTGTTCCAATGGGGCTGAACAGTGGCCAGGGCTGGAGTTGTTGCTTATATTCCATGCGGTTGTTGGCTCTTCAGTTTTCTACATAATAGGAAATGTTCCCTCCCCTCTTGCATAGTGCTCTCCCATTCTCCAACTCTCTCTCTCTCTCTCTCTCTCTGCAGCTGCTGTAATGCTAAGCTCATGCTGCTAATGTGTGTGTGTGTGTGGCTGCTGCTTTTTGTGGCTACCATTCTCATTGCATAATGTGTTTTTCCCTTACCCTAACCGAAATAGCGCTCCCTTTTGGTTTATGGTGAACATATTTTATTGATTACATGTCCATCTCCATCTTCTACTCCTCCAACTCTGACTCTTGGGGCAACTGCTGCTGTTCTCCGACTCCAGCTGGGGCCCTCCAACTCC